ATCAGAAACAACTCAACAAATAACAAGTGCTGGCGGGGTTGCGGAGAAAAGGGAACCCTAGTGCTGTGTTGGCGGAAATACAGACTGGGGCAGCCACTGTGGAAAAGAGTGTGGAATTTCCTCAGAAAACTAAAGACGGAATTGTGTTTTGACCTGGCAATTCCACTGCTGCGATTATACTGTAAGAACTCTCAAACACCCGTTCAAAAGAACCTGTGCAGCTCAATGTTCAGAGCAGCACAATTTACAACAGCCAAATGCTGGAAGCAACCTAAGTGTCCATCAGTAAATGAGTGGATCAAAAAACTATGGTACGTTTACACAACGGAATGCTATACAGCAGAAAGAAAGGAGCTCCTACCCTTTGCAACAGCATGGATGGGGCTGGAGAGCATTATGCTAAGGGAAGTAAGGCGGGGGGGGGGCGGTGAGGTGGGAGGGGAAGATAAATACCATATGATCTCACCTATAAGTGGAACCTAATCAACAAAACAAACAAACAAGCAGACTATAACCAGAGGCATTAAAATAAAGAACAAAGTGACTGTAATCAGATGTGTGGAGGGAGAGGCATAATAGGGGAAAGAAGAGTCAGATGGTCAAGAAACACGTAGAAAGTATCCATGGACAAAGCCAAGGCGGGTAGGATTTCGGGGATGAGGTGAGTGTGGGTGGGGCAGGGTAACGTGGGGGCAGGAAAACAGAGACAGCTGTACTTGAACAACAATAATAAAATTAAAAATGGAACCAACTTATGTCTCAGTGATTCTAATTCTGGGAATTTATCTGAAGAAGCCTGAAACACTAATTTGAAAACAGATATGATTCCCTATGTTTATTGCGAAGTTATTTACAATAGCCAAGATTTGTAAGCAGCCCAAGTACCCTGAGTAGATGAGTGGATAAAATCATTATGGTACTTTTATACAATGGAATACTATATGGCCATAGAAGGAAGGAAATCTTACCTTTTGTGACAGCATGGATGGATCTGGAGAGTATTATGCTAAGTAAAATAGACCAGTCAGAGAAAGACAAATACCATATAATTTCACTCACATGTGGGATTTAAGGAACAAAATGAACCAGCAAAAAAAAAAAATAGAGACAGACTCATAGATAGAGAGCAGGCTGACAGTTGTCTGGTGCAGGGTTGGGTGGGGGATGGTGGAGGGGTTGAGCCCCCCCCCCAAAAAACAAACAAAAACCAAACAATAAAAGAGAGAGGGAGAGAGAGGAAACTCATTGACACAGACAACAGTGTGGTGATTGCCAGGAGAAGGCGACAGTGGAGGGAGGTGGAGGAGGGTAATGGAGGATAAATGGTGATAGAAGGAGACTTGACTTGGGGCAGTGAGCACTCAGTACACTCTATAGGTGGTATGTTGTAGAATTGTGCACTCAAAACATGTATAATTTTGTTAATCAGCGCCACCCCAATAAATTCAATAAAAAGAAAAATAGGTTTAAATAGACATTTCATTAAAGATCTAAAAATGGTTAATAAGCACATAAAATGGAAATTAAAGTCACAGTAAGATATCCTTTATACTCACTAGAATGATTATACTAAAAAAAACAATAGTTACAAATATTGGTGAGAATATGGAGAGCCAGGAACTCTCATCCATTACTGGTGGGAATGTAAAACGGGAAAGTCAGTTTGGAAAACAGGAAGTTGCTTAATCATAAACTTTCCATATAGCCCGACAATACTTCACTTCTGGTTATCAACTGCAGATAAACAAAAAAATGTGTCCACACAAAGAGTTGCATGATAATGTGCAGACCAGCATTTTATATGATTCTTTTTATATGAAATATCCAGAAAAGGCAAACTTATTTATTTTATTTATTTTTATCCTCACTTGAGGATATGTTTATTGATTTTAGAGAAAAGGAAGAGGGAGAAAGGGGAGGGAGAGAGAGAGAGAAAGAGAGACAGAGAGAAAGAGAGACAGAGAGATAGGTAGATGAGAGAAACATTGATCATTTGCCTCCTGTATGTGTCTTGCCGGGGGATCAAACCTGAAACCCAGGTATATGCCCTGACCAGGAATTGAACACACAACCTTTTGATGTACTGGACGCTCCAAGAGAAAAGGCAAATTTAAAGAAACAGAAAAGAGATTAAGAGTTCCATTGGGCTAAGGGTGGAAATAAGGAATGACTACAAAGAGCACAGGAGATCTTAAAAGAGAGTGATGAAAGTGTTCTAAAACTGCCTTATGGTGATGGTTGTACAACTGGATAAATTTACTAAAAATTACTAAGAACAGGTAAAATCACTTAAAATAAATGAATTTTATAGCAAATTTTACCTCAATACAAGTATTTTTTTTAGATTATATTTATTTCTAGAAAGAGGGGCAGGGAGGGAGAGAAGGGGGGAACATCAATGTGTTGTTGCCTCTCACATGCCCCCTACTGGGGACCTGGACCACAACCCAGGCATGTGCCCTGAATGGGAATTGAACCAGTGACCCTTTGATTCACAGGCTGGCACTCAGTCCACTGAGCCACACCAGCCAGGGCTCAATATAATCATTTTTAAAAATTACACTTATACACTGTTAGTCATTGCAGCATTCATTGTAAGAGCAACAGATTGGAACCAACTTAAATATCCATTAGTAGAAGACTGGTTAAATAAATTGTTGTGTATCTGTAAATATGGATGTATTAAAAAAAGAAGCTTCTTGCCATTAGGTGTCTGCCGCCCAAGATGGATGTGTGTAGATACACCTTTTCTCCTTGCACAACATAAAGAAGGACAACAACTAAAAAAATAAAAAAATAAAAAATTAAAAATAACCAGAACTGCCAGAAAAATCGAACTGTATGGAAGTCCGACCACTAAGGAGTTAAAGAAGAAACCGTCATCCAGACTGGTAGGAGGCTCTGAGACAGGCAGCCGGGTAGAGAGGACATGCAGCAAGGCAGCAGCTAGAGGATCGGGTGGTCCCATGTCTGTGTGCAGATAATCTGGGAGGAAGAGCTAGGGAGCAAGGCAGCTGCCCAATCTAGGGCTCCAGGGCAAGAAAAGAAATCCTCAAAACCTCTGGAGGAAAAAAACCTGTGGGGGTTCTGGCAGCAGGAGAAACTCTCAGCCGCACAGGAGAGTCCCTTGGAGAGACCCACAGGGTCCTAGAAGGTACACAAATCTACATACTCAGGAGTCAGCACCAGAAAGGCCCAGTATGCTTGTGGGTAGCAGGGGAAGTGACCGAAGGCTGGCAGAGAGCCTAGGAAGCAGGATTGTTCACTCTCGGACCCCTCCCCCACAGACAGCATCACAGCACAGTGACCTGGGTTGCTTCCCCTGACGAATACCTAAGGCTCTGCTCCTTCCAACCATTTCCAAGGTGCATCAAGGCAAAGAAATATGGCACAAATGAAAGAACTGATCAAAGCTCCAAAAATAGAACTAAATGGTGAACAGATAGCCAAGCTATCAGATACACAGTTCAAAACACTGGTAATCTGGATGCTCACTGAATTGGTTGAGTATGGTTGCAAAATGGAGGAAAAAGCAAAGGCTGTGCGAAGTGAAATAAAAAAAAAACAACATACAGAGAACCAACAGTAAAGGGAAGGAAACGGACTCAAATCAACTAACTGGAGCAGAAGGAAGAAATAAACATTCAACCAGGCAGAATGAAGAAACAAGAATTCAAAAAAAAAAAAAAATATGAGGAGAGGCTTAGGAACCTCTGGGACAACTTTAAACATTAAACATTCCAACATCTGAATCATAGGGGTGCCAGAAGGAGAAGAGGAAGACCAAAAAATTTAAAACTTATTTGAACAAATAATGAAGGAGAACTTCTCCAACCTGGCTAAGAAAATAGACTTCCAGGCAGTCCAGGAGGCTCACAGAGCCCCAAAGAAGTTGGACCCAAGGAAGCACGTACCAAGGCACATCACAATTAAGTGACCCAAGGTTAAAGATAAGGAGAATCTTAAAAGCAGCAAGAGGAAAGGAGACAGTTACCTACAAAGGAGTTCCCATAAAACTATCAGCTGATTTCTCAAAAGAAACCTTGCAGACAAGGAGGGGCTGAAAAGAAGTATTCAGTCATGAAAGGCAAGGACCTACATCCAAGATTACTGTCTCCAGCAAAGCTATCATTTAGAATGGAAGGGCAGATAAAGTGCTTCCCAGATAATGTCAAGTTAAAAAAGTTCATCATCACCAAGCCCTTATTATATGAAATGTTAAAGGGACTTATCTAAGAAAAATAAGATAAAAAAACTATGAACAGTAGGGGCAGGGGGAAGCATGAGGGGAAAGGTACAGGGAATAAGCGGCATAAATAGTAGGTACAAAATAGGCAGGGGGAGGTTAAGAATAGTATAGGAAAAGGAGAAGCCAAAGAACTTATATGTACAACACAGGGACATGAACTAAGGAGGGTGAGAATGCTTGGGGTGAGGTGGGGCGGTGGAGGGGAATAAAGGGGAGAAAATAAATGGGACAACTGCAATAGCATAATCAATAATACATATCTTAAAAAAGAAGCTTCTTCATATGCCGGTATAAAATAATCTTCAGGTTTTCTTAGGTGAAAAGTGTAAGATGTATATAATATGATACTATTTGTGTGAAAAAAGGGAGAAAATGTGTTCTTAAGAATTTGCTTATGTATGTCTAGAATATCTCTGATATGTAATATATTATACATGTTATAAAGATATATAAAAGCTAGCATGTTGTTGGCCTCTGGAGAAGGGAACTGGGTGGCTTCAGATGGAGGCAGAGGGAGATGTTTCATTGCATATTTGACCCATGTGAATTATAAACTATATAAAAAGTAAGTCAAAGTGAAAACAAAATAATATATTCAAATAGAGGGGGTTATTTACCTTTTCATTGATCTTTTACAGAAAAATTACTTCCAAATTATTTCCCAATAGGTACTACTCCTGAAACACCATACATGTTTTTACTTTATTTTTATTTTATTTTTGAGAGGACCCAAATTTGTTCTGATGGCCTTTCTTCTCAACTTGTCACCTCTGAAACTCTGAGTCTAGTTTTAGAGCAGAAAGAATCTCTGCTAGGAGTGCTCCAAAATGTATAGCTTTGTTTCTGAGAACTGGATACAAAGTAGAATACCTGGATTAAAACAAAATACAATTGGTTCAGAAAACCAAATAATTCTTGGGCCCTGCCTTCCTGTTTGAAACATTTGACTGATTGAATCAGAACTTCTGATTGTTTGATTGACTGGTTGAAAAGCTAATATTGATCAGCAGTTTTTAACTAAGTGCATTTTTGCCCTTGAGGGGCACTTGCAATATCTAGAAGATATTTTTAGTTGTCAAAACAGGGGTACTGCTGACATCTGGTGAATAGAGGTCAGGGAGGCTGATAAAAACCTCACAATGCACAGGGCACAGGACAGTATCCCCACCACAAAGAATTATCTAGACCAAAATGGTAATAGTGTGGATGTTGAGAAATACTTATATAGACTTAAGGCTAATATTCAGCATTTCTGTTCTGAAAGGATTTAAAGATACACACAGCTTTCATATTTTCTTAGGCCAAGAAAATTAGCACTGGCCTCTGTGTTTTTAGAAACGGGTCTCCACAATCATTGCCCCCCTCCCCCAGATCTTTATAACTGCTTGGGGAAAGAAAATAAAATTGGGAGCATTTGGTAATGCAAAGACGCTGTCTTAGATATGGTGTGGAAGGACATACCTGTTGTGAGTGCTGAGCTCAATTTTTCCTCAGCTGGTTTCCTTTAAGGTGGCTGTATTGGTCATCTTCCCGATCCTTAAGGGGCTAAAAAGCACAGCACAGTCATAAGGTCATTCCCCTCCATCCTTTAGGAATTTATTTGATGCATATATATTGAGTGTTTTTTATGTACAAGGCTTTGAAGTGGGTGCTTTGTGGTCTTTGGGGGCAGAGAGAGGACAAAAAGATGGAGGTTCTGTATATATCTCTCAGTGTGTTCTTTAATTTTTCTCACTAGAGCCTGACCTCAATCTTGCTCAACCCTTTTCCTTATTTCATCCATTCTACCCAAAGTGATACATATGCCATCATCTGGTATGTTCTAAGCAGTTTCTTGTCTATATCTGGAAGTATCTTCCAGATAACTTGTGCCCTGCTTCTGGAGATACTTTCCCCATTCTAAAAATTTTAAATCACCACTAATTGTAGCAATATCTCTGTCATCCCCCATTCCCTTACCTGGTAGAGCTGGTCATTGGATAACAGAGTCTGCTTGTCTGAAGCTGCACAAAAGATAAACAAAACACACACACACACACAGTAGAATGGATAATAAATTTGATTATATTCATACAATGGAGTACTAAATAACACTAAGAATTAGTGAAATACACCTACATACAAGAATATGGATAGATGTCACAAGTATATTGTTGAGTAAAAGAAGCCACACGCAAGAATACTTACTGTTAAGTCCATGTTACAGAAGAAACAAAAACAGGCAAGATTAATCAATATTAGAAGTCAGGATGGTGCTCACTTTTGGGGATAGCAAGAGTCTGGAAATGACCACAAGGGGGACTTCTGAGATGTTGGTAATATTCTTCTTAAACTGGGTGCTGGGTTAATGGGTGTGCTTGCTTGGTTAAATTTTTTTTTTTTTGAGCTGTATGCTTGTGATTCATGCATTTTTATGTATGTAGGTTTTACTTCAATTAAGAGTTTTTTGTTTTTTGTTTTTTTTTTTTAAACACAGAGGACAAATCAGAGAGAGTTGGATCTTGAGACAGGTAGCTATGCTGTGAAAACACCAAGTGTCCATTTATCCTGACTACAGAGAGAGCCTCACTCAACCGTGTACATTAGAAACACATGCCAACTCAGTCTCTTCTTTGAGACTGTTTTGGAAGGAAGAAAGCTAAGAGTTGCAGGGAGTCTCCTATCTCATCTAAGGACATCTTTTACCTCTTGATTGGCGAACTCCGTCCTGTCCAGCAATGAAATACACCCCAACAGCGAGGAAAAAAATGCTGATGATTTCGGCAAAGGCAAAGCCAGACACAGTGGATGCATTCAGCTCAATGCAGTTCTGACACACTGTGAGGAAAGGGAAAGACAAGCCTACTTTAAAGTGTGAACGTTGTTTTTCTGAATATTTTTCTCCTGCTACCAGAAATAATGTCTTTGTCTAGCTAGGGCAACAGCCTTCTCCCTCTGTGGGCTGTATGTCAAAGGAATTGCCTGGGAAGATCCTTGGACTAAGAATGCAATGCTTCTTGATGTCCTTCTCTCCTCCAGGAGTCCTGGGGAAGCCCATGTAGTCCTTTTACCAGGAGCTATGTGAAATAGAGGAAAGATCAGATCCTCTTCTCCATGCTCCTTTACCTTCCATAAGTCACTGCTGTTCGCCTTGTAATATCCTGTCTCTTCTATCCACCCTAACTCAGTTGATATAAATTGCTGACTGCTCCAGTTCAGGGAGCCCACCCAAAGGTAAGCCAGGCTTTCAGGGCTGGCTATGCTTTATCAAGAAGTTGGGGGAACTGTCTCATTATATAGTAAAGAAAAAAAAAAAGCAAGGTGAAATTAAGGGAATTGGCTGTTTAACATCTATTTTATCACTCACTCTGGACAGGAAATCACCAACAGGAAGTATAGCTTAATTTCACAACAAACAAACCAGAGAGGATCACATACTTCTATAATATACTTGGAGTTTTGTGGAATTCTTCTTTGATCCTTGACACCAATATGTCCCTCGAGGGTCCTTCATGCTACTTCCCAGTTTCCATGTACTTCTGTTTGGCATTATTTCCTTCCCATCTTTAAACCATTTGATATTTTCTCCTTCCAAGTTACAAGTCAGAAGCACTGAACTGTCTTCTTGATTTTCATCCACCGCTACCATTGGTTCTCCTGAAAAGGGAAAAGCCATGATCTGTTAAGGATCTTGCCTCTGAAATTCTCTCTAATCCAGGGTACCAAAAGAAGAGCATTACAGCAGTGCTTCTCAAGCTTTAATGTGTCCATGAATCACATGGGGGATCCAGTTAGAATTTCAGGTTCTAATTTAGTAGTTTTGGGGAGGGGCTGAGACTCTGCATTTCTAACATGCTTCTAGGTGATGTTAATGCTGTAGGTTTGTGGGTAACATTTTGAGTAGTCCCTAGCTGCTAGCATGCTATTTCTACTCCAAGAATTAGACAGGTAGTTGCTGGTCATGACTGGCCACTGATTTGGTTGACAGGGGAGAGGTTTGCTATTTATCACACATTATCCCAGAACTACTGTTGTAGGAAGCCATATTTCCATAATTTCCTCACAGTTTGAGCATAGAAAGAAGCCATTTCCCTACCTTGTTTCCACTGGGCAATAGTACCTGTAGAGACAGAAGAGAGACAGAGGATCATCAGCTGGACATGGGGTTATTCAGATGACCAAGTAAGTGATACCTCAAGGCATTTGAGACAAAGATGGAGAGAGATCCTGATCTACAGGAATAACAGTATCTAGACCTATGTCTCTGAATTGTCAACTTAAATCAACCAAATTGTCAACCAAATTAAATTCAGATGTTTTGTAATAAAGAATTTGTCTGGCCTCTGTCATGAATTCCTGGATGGGAGTTTCTAAACCCTTGGAATTTTAGGAGTGTATTTGTTATTCTTAGCGGGCCCTACGACCATATATGTGTGTATACTAATGAAGTAATTCAGAATGGGGCCTGTTCAAGACCAACCTCGTGATGAGAGAACTGGGACTTTGTGCTCTGGGAGGGGAGGGCCTCTGGAGATTGAGTTTAGTCACATGGCCAATGATTCAATTAATCGTGCATATATAATGAAACTCAGAAGAGATTGTTGATTGGGGAACACATCAATGTGCCAGGAAGGTGATGTATTCTGATTCCAGAGGAGAGGCACAGAAGCTCTGTGCTCAGGAACTTCCCAGACCCCACCCTAGGTGTCTCTTCATTTGGCTAGTCCTGATTTTATTTTTTTGTAATAAAATTGTGATAGTGAATATAGTGCTTTCCTGAGTTGTGTGAGTTGTTCTAGCAAATTAACAGACCCGAGGGAACCCTTCAGATTTGTATTCAGAAGTGTGGGTGTTCTGAAGACCCCTGAATTTGTGCCTGGCATTTAAAGTGAGGGTAGACACGTTCTACTGGTTTTAGCAGGATGAGCTCAATTGGTACTGAGTATGACCTGTCAGTCTCTACTTTCTCTCTTGATGGAAGAGTTTTTCAAGCTGAATATGCTATGAAGGCTGTGGAAAATAGTGTACAGCTAATGGAATCAGATGTAAAGATGACATTGTCTGTGGGGTATAAAAATTAGTCCTTTCTAAACTTTATGAATAAGGTTCCAACGAATGACTTTTTAATGTTGATTAGCATGTTGGAATGGCAGTAGCAGGTTTGTTGGCAGATACTTGTTCTTTAGGAGACACTGCAAGAGAGGAGGCTTCCAACGTTAGATCTGCCTTTGGCTATGACATTCCACAAAAACATCTTGCAGAGTGGTCATGTATGTACATGCATATATACTTTATAGTGGTGTTTGACTTTTTGGCTGCAATTTCATGTTAGGGTCTTACAGTGTGAATGTCGGTGCACAGCTCTACATGATTAACCCATTGGGTGTTTCATATGGTTATTGGGGTTGTGCTATTGACAAAGCCAGGCAAGCAGCATAGAAAAACTTCAGGTGAAAAAAATGACCTGTTGTGGTGTTGTTAAAGAAGTTGCAAAAATAATTTACATAGTACATGATGAAGTTAAGGATAAAGCCTTTGAACTGAAGCTCAGCTGGGTTGGTGAAATAACCAAAGTAACACATGAAGTTGTTCCAAGAGATAAAAGAGAAGAGACAGAGAAGTATGCTAAGGACTCTTTGAAGGAAGGTGAATCAGATGATGATAATATGTAACATTTACTTAGCATTTATTTTTAAATTTCTAATACAGTTACCATGTAACTATTTTGCCTCTTGGATTATTACATACCCATTGATCAATTTTCATTACATTTTTGTCTTGTAAAAAAATAAAGTGTGGGTAGTTTTGTTGGTGACTGTGTCTTTAACCTATGGGGTCTGATGCTAACTTTTAGCATCAGAATTGCATTGCAGTCTATGTAAGGGTATTGCTTGCACAGTCTGGAATCTCTTCCTCAGCAGCTGAAGTAGGGAGTTTTCACTAGCTAAAGCATTTAGAGCTGAGTTCTAAAATCTTTAGTTTTGATGGTCCATTTCTTGTAGAAACTCTGAATATCCCAGAGGAGTTAGCTATTCAATAGATCTAAAATTTGTCTCAAAACTCAGAATAATAGAATTGTACAGTAGAAATACTTTAGAGAACTAGCACTGGAGTTCAATTCAATTGGATTTAATTTATATTTGCTGAGCACTATTATGTTCCTGACATGATTAAGTAAAGTGAAAGAAAAGGGTGTTGATATGAAGAACTGGTTGCTGCTTCCAAAGAGTTTATACAATGAGGTAGAAAAAACACATATGTAATTAATGTAATAAATTATCATTTAGTACTTATATGAATACATGTAAGAGGGGTAAAAACTACTGATTTTACCCAAGTGCGAGTGACAGGGAAAGCTTGCCAGAGAAGGTGACTGTTGGCTGGGCCTAAAGAATGAATAGGAATTCACCAGACAGAGAAAGACATTCTTGGGAGAAAGAATAGCTAAGCAAACACAAAGACTTGGAAAAGGACAAGAGAGGTAATATGGCTAGAGGGGGAAAAACGGACATGAATCAAAGTATGATGGCAATAGTTGGAAGGAGTCGGCTGTCTTAGGTCTTTACAAAAGGCTTCACTGTGTATGAATAGTATCCAACACAGTGCCTGGAACATAACAGGAACTTTATATTTGTTGAAAAAATGCATAAACAAATAAATGAGTGGATTTTTTAAAAAGCAAGACAAACGGTTAACAAATTTCTCACGAGCTCTTCTCCTTGACCACCTGCTCCCCATGGGAAGGACAAAGAGACCCCTCATTTTAACATAGGCTCCATGGGAAAGAGGTTGCAAGTGATTACTGACATTTTTTAATCTTGCTTATCTGAGCTCTGCTTCCTTTGGGGACTTAGGAACTCATGTAGTCAAACTTCCTAGGTTGATTGCTGAGAACTGAACCCAGGGGGAGGAGACATTGCCCAAGTTCACACAGCTCATTGGTGGCTGAGCTCAGGTTTCTGCTCTACAGAAAGAGCTGCCTCACACAGGCTTTCTGCATTGCCCCTCAACCTGTGTTGTTTGCCTCCACTCCCTCAGAAGTAATTCTACACTCACACTGACCTCTTTAAGTCTTCTACTCAACTATCGCCAAGCTCAGCCTTGGCAGGTGGCATTGCCTCCATCTTAGTTTGTTGAGAACATAGATGTTGCAATGGTCCTTTCTCCTTCAGCTTCCTTTCCATCTACAAGACTTTCTATTGCCAAAGCCATCTGTACCTCTTTTCTTCTAGTCTTAGAGGGTACTGTGCCCTTGACCCTACTCTTGACTCTGTCCTTTCAACGTCAACCCCAGGACCTCACTCTAGTCACTACCTTCTCCTTTGGTATAGAAATATGCTCAGATTTCTTTCACATTTAAAAAAATTTCTTCTTAGACTATTCCCCTTCCCCCATTTACCACTCTAATTCTCCTCCATTCTCACCCAAACTTCTTTCAAGAATAGCCTACACTTGTTTTTCTTTATCACATGCCCTTCCCCTTTTACTCATCTCCATTTGGCTTCTACTCACACTATCCCAATGAAACTGTTTTAAATCATTCATGAACTTTATTTTGCTAAATCCCACAAACTTAAGCTTTTAAATATATTTTTTGTATTAATAGATTGCTCTTTAATATTTCATACTCTCAGTGAATTTCTCCTTTAGAAGCTGTCTACTTCCTAGGTTTTCATGGTATCAGATTCATCTGATTATTCCAGCTCTTTGATCATTCCCTTATCTTTTTCCAGGTATATTCTTTCTCTAGCTATCTCTTAAAGGTTGGTATCCTTACAGTTCCATCCTGAGCCCCTCTTCCTCATATCTAACACAATACTTGTGTGATTTCAACAGCTTTCATGGTCTTAGCTTCCCCTCATTGCATGGAGAACCATCTCTAGTCTCAAATGTAGGAATTGGTCCAGTTCACCCACTTCTAGTTGGATATTTACAATCGAATATTCATACAGACATCTTCTATTGTACCTTACACTCAGTCTGGCAACACTGAAAATTATTTCTCTAACTAGTTTATGAGTTCTTTAGGGCAGAAGGTCTTTATTTAGCTTTATATCTTCCTAGCCTATTACATAATAGGACCTCACTATATTTGTTGACCAGTGGTGGAACCGACCAACTAAATGAATGCTTCACAGATCTACTCCTAACCCCAGCTCTGAAGTGAAAACAAATAAACAAACACATACCTCTTTATTCTAGGTTCCTGGCCTGTGCCCTTTTGGGCTACATTCAAACCTAAAATGGTGACATCCAGGTTCTATCTCTAGATAAGTTCTAGATGTGTTGGATACTATTCCCAGCTAAGTTCTCTGATTTGATTTCTCAGGAAATAAGGACCCGATCTCTCTCATGGAACACTGCTTCTCTGTAACAGACTAATAAGAGGCTTCCTGCCTTCTCTGAACTCTAAGGTAATATCTGAGGTAGACTCAAAGTCAGCCATTCTAATATTCTTGTCCCCTGGTTGTGGCCTCTTCCTTTGAGTCTTTCTCCAGGCTACCAGACCCCCTAAGCAGGCCCTTACCTTGAAGAAGGGAGATAGCCAGGATGAGGCCAGCCAGATGATTCCCCTGCTCCATGTCAGTCTCTGTTCTTCTCTCACGGAAACACTGAGCAGCCTGTGCAGTAGCTAGCCTGGCTCCACCCAGCATTCTTAAGGCTGGGGCCCCTGCAAGAAGGCAAGAACAAAGTCTCCACCCTCAGCTTCAAGTGTGGGCAGCTGGAGCCTCAGCAGGGCTGCAGGTGCATATGTCTCTTGCTTTTCTGTTAAGGACGGAAGTGGGAGAGGTGGTGAGGAGGGAAAGGGAGAGAATGCTGGATTTCTATCTCAGAGGCTCTGGCTTGCACACAGAACAGCCTTGGGTTCTGGGTAGTAAATGACCTGGGTCCCTTTCTTCATAAAGGAGATAAATTTATCTGTCATCACCTGTTGCCAGTATCTTAGCCAGTTGTTGCTTTTTGTTAGTTGTTAGAACTAATAAATTTAGATGAGACTGCTCAGATGCTCAGTGCTGGACCTCTGAGAAGAAAGCCTCATTCAGGAATTTTTTTACTGTCCTTCTGAGGTGGGAACAGGGAACATCAAACAGGTGCCTGCCTGGAAGGAAAGAAATGGGACAATTCCATCAAGACAGGCCAGAGATATGGAGGCAGAAACAAGATGGAGGCATAAGTAGATGTATGTTTCTTTCTCGCACAACCAAAGGAAGGATAACAACCAATTAAAAAAAATAACCTAAACTGCCAGAAAATCAAACTATATGGAAGTCTGACAACAAAGGAGTTGAAGAAGAAACATTCATCCAGACGGGTAGGAGGGGCAGAGAGCACCCGCAACAAAGCAGCAGTTGGTAGACTGGGGAGGGCAAGGTGGTGGTTGGCAGACCAGGATATCCCATGTTCACATGCAGATAATTTGGGAGGAACAACTGGGGAGCGAGACAGACCATGCAACCCAGGATTCCAGTGTGGGAAAATAAAGCCTCAAAACCTCTGGCTGTAAAAATCTGTGGGGGTTGTGGCAGCAGGAGAAACTTCCAGTTTCATTGGAGAGGCCCACGGGATCCTAGACTGTACACAAGCCCACCAACTCAGGAACCTGTGCCTGAAAGGGCACAACCCACTTGAGAGAAGTGAGGGAAGTGACTGAAAGCTGGGTGAGAGTTGCGAAAGCAGCATTGTTCTCTTTCTGACCCCTCCCCCACATATAGCATCACAACACATCGAAGTGGGTTGCCCTGCCCTAGTCAATACTTAAACCTCTGCTCCTTACAATGTAACAGGTGTGCCAAGACAAAGAAATATGGCCCACATGAAAGAACAGAGCAAAACTCCAGAAAAAGAACTAAGCAACAAGGAGATAGCTAACCTGTCAGATGCTGAGTTCAAAAAACTGGTAATCAGGATGCTCACAAACATCATTGAGTATGGTCACAAAATAAAGGAAGAAATGAAGGCTATACAAAGTGAAATAAAGCAAAATGTAGAGGAAACCAACAATGAAGAAAAGGAAACCAGAACTCAAACCAATGATTTGGAACAAAAGGAAGAAATAAACATCCAATTAGAACAAAATGAAGAAACAAGAATTCAAAAAAGAAAAATGAGGAGAGGCTTAGGAACCTCTGGGACAACTTTAAACATTAAACATTCCAACATCTGAATCATAGGGGTGCCAGAAGGAGAAGAGGAAGACCAAGAAATTTAAAACTTATTTGAACAAATAATGAAGAACTTCCCCAATCTGGCTAAGAAAATAGACTTCCAGGAGGCTCACAGAGTCCCAAAGAAGTTGGACCCAAGGAAACACACAGCAAGGCACATCATAATTACATTACCCAAGATTAAAGATAAGAAGAAAATCTTAAAAACAGCAAAAGAAAAGGAGAAAGTTACCCACAAAGGAATTCCCATAAGACTGTCAGCTGATTTCTCAAAGGAAACCTTGCAGGCAAGAAGGGTCTGGAAAGAAGTATTCAGTCATGACATGCAAGGACCTACATCCAAGATTACTGTCTCCAGCAAAGTTATCATTTAGAATGGAAGGGCAGATAAAGTGCTTCTCAGATAAGGTAAAGCTAAAGGAGTTCATCATCACCAAGCCCTTATTATATGAAATGTTAAAGGGTCTTATCTAAGAAAAGAAGAAGATCAGAACTATGAACAGTAAAATGACAACAAACTCACAACTGTCAACAACTGAACCTAAAAAACCAAAACCAAAACAAAAAGCAAACAACTAGAACAGGAACAGAATCCCAGAAATGGAGATCATATGGAGGGTTAGTGAAATGGGGGAAAAATGAGGGAGAAAGTTACAAAGAATAAGAAGCATAATTGGTAGGTACAAAATAGACAGGGGCAGGTTAAGAATAGTACAGGAAATGGAGAAGCCATAAAAACTTTTATGTATGAGCCATGGACATGAACTAAGTGGAGAGAAATGCATGAGGGAGGGGGGTGCAGGGCAGAGGGTGATAAAGGGGAAAAAAATCAGCCAACTCTAATAACATGATCAATACATTATTCTTTAAAAAAAAAAAAAGACAGTCTATACATTTCCAGGATCTCAGGTCCCTCTCTCTCTCAGCCAGTTAGTCAGCAATTCAGTAAAAATGTATGGACTCTTGTTTTGTGCCAGGCACAAGCAAGGTGCTGAAAATATAGAAATGAGAGAGACATACATGATCTCTGCCCTCAGGTAAATTACAGTCTAACTATGGTAGTGTAGAGAGTTTCAGATCCCCATAAACTACAAGGGAGAATAGTCCTTTTGTCTCCTGGGAAGGATCAATTCTGCCTACAAGTTAATCATATTGTTATTGATAACGATCTCTTATTGAGTACATATGATGTGTCAGGCATCAAACAAACAAAAATTCTTTGTGATTAAAGAATACATTAGAGCACATCAACAGCAAATTAGGTGAAACAGAAGAATGAATCATGATTTGGAAGATAAGGTAGTAGAGAACATCCAATCAGAAGGACAAAAATAAACAAACAAATAAGTAAACAAGCAAATAAATAAATGAAAGATCGTTTAAGAGACCTCTGGAACATCATAAAACATAACAGCATTTGCATCATAGGAGTACCAGAAGGAGAAGAGAAAGAGGAAGAGATTGAAAACTTATTTTAAAAAATAATGATGAAAAATTTCCCTAACCTGGTGAAGGAACTAGACAGGCAAGTCCAGGAAGCACAGAGTCCTGAACAAGACAGATGGGAAGAGGCCCACTCCAAGACGCATCATAATTAAAATGCCAAAGGTTAAAGATACAAACAGAATCTTAAAACAAGAAAAAAGCAGTTAGTTACCTACAAGGGAGTACCCATAAAACTGTCAGCCTGATATCTCAAAAGAAACTTTGCAGCCTAGAACAGATTGGCAAAAAAAATTCAAAGTCATGAAAAGCAGAGACCTACAGCCAAGATTGATTTACCCAGCAAGGCTATCATTTTGAATTGAAGGGCAGATAAAGAATTTCTCTGACAGGAAAAAAGTAAAAGAGTTCATCATTACCAACTCATTATTACATGAAATGTTAAAGGGACTTATTTAAGAAAAAGATCAAAATTATGAACAATAAAATTGCAATAAATACGTATCTACCAATGATTGAATCTAAAAAGAAACTAAGCAACAAGAAGATCAGAGACAGACAGAATCATGGATATGGAGAGTGTTTTGGTGGTTGCCAGATGGGAGAGGGGTGTGGGGAAATGGGTAAAGAGGTGAGGCAATTAAGAGGTACAAATAAGTAGTCATAGAATAACCATGGTGTTGTAAAGTATAGTATAGGAAGTGGAGTAGCCAAAGAACTTATATGCATGACCCAGGGACATGAACAATGGTAGGGGGATTACCTGAGGGAGCGGGAAGTGCTAGGTGGAGGGAGGTAAAAGGGAAAAATCAGGACAACTGTAATAGCATAATCAATAAAACATAATTTAAAGAATATAATAAACGTACACTTGGACAAAATAATATAATAATGAAAAGCTTCCCTAATGTGGTAAAGGAAACAGACATACAAATCCAGAAAGTGCAGAGAGTCCCAAACAAGATTGACCCAAAGAGGCCCACACCAAGACACTTCATAATTAAAATGCCAAAGGTTAAAGACAAAGAGAGAATCTTAAAAGCAGCAACAGAAAAGCAATTAGTAGCCTTCAAGGGCGCTCCTATAAGACTGGCAGCAGATTTCTCAACAGAAGATTTGCAGGTCACAATGATTAGCATAAAATATGCAAAGTGACGATACAAGGATCTACCCAACAATGCTGTTATTTAGAAATGAAGGGTAAAGAACTTAGACAAAAGCCCTGGCTGGAGTGGCTCAGTGGATTGAGAACGGGACTGCAAAGCAAGGGGTCGCCAGTTTGACTCCCAGTCAGGACACATGTCTGCGTTGTGGGCCAGGTCCCCAGTGGGGGTGCGTGAGAGGCATCCACACATTGATGTTTCTCTCCCGTTCTTTCTCCCTCCCTTCCTCCCTCTATAAAAATAAATAAATAAAATCTTTAAAAATAAAGAACTTAGACGAAATAATTGAAGGAGTTCATCACCACCAAACCAATATTACAAGAAATGTTAAAGGGACTCCTTTAAGAAGAAGATAAAAAAAAATAATATTGCAAAAAAAAAAAAAAAAAACCAAACCCTCACTGAAAAAGGCAAATACATAATAAAAGCAGTGGATTAACAAACACTAAAGCAAGTACAAAGGTTAAAAGGCAAAATTAGGAAGGTTATGTGCAATTACAACAGTGAATTAAGGGATACACACAATCACAAATGAAGAAACAATAAAGATAAAAACATAAATGTGGAGGAAGTGAGTAAAAATGGTAGTGATTTTAGACTGTGTCTCAACTTCAGTGATCCTCAAATTAAAATGGACTTCTATAAACATAGCTTGGTGAATATGAAGTATGTGGAAACCACAAACTGAACATCTACAACAGAACTGCAAGAAATAAAGAGAAAGGAATCCAAACACAAAACTATAGAAAGTCATCAACATACAAGAGAAGAGAGCAAGAGAATAAGAAAGTAACAGAGAACTATAAAAACAATCAGAAAACAATTAATAAAAAAGCAATAACTACATATCATAAGAAAGAGTAAAATTTTACCATTTACAACAACATGGATAGACCCAGAGGATATTGTGCTGGGTGAGTTGAGTCAGACAGAGAAGGACAGATGCTGGATGATCATGTAGAATCTAAAAAACAGAATAAATAAACAAAAAAAAAAAAAACCCAGAAACAAACTGATGGTTACCAGATGAGGGGGATTGGGGGGCTGGGTGAAAAAGGTGAAGAGATTAAAAAGTACCAATTGGTGGGTACAAAATAGTCATGGGGAATAGTATAGCATAGGGAATATAGTCAATAATATTGTAGTAACTATATATGGTGTCAGGTAGGTGCAAGACTTACCAGGAAGAGGGGATCACTTTTTAAGTTATACAAATGTCTAACTACTATTCTGTATACCTGAAACTAATATAACATTGAATGTCAATTGTAATTAAAAAATAAAATTAGGCAAAAGATCCCTAACCTTATCATGATACTGAGGGAATTAGACTTGGAAAAATTCCATGACCGGCCCCAGCCCAGAGGGTAGACAGTAGTATTGGAGCTAGGATTCAAATCTCTGGCTGGGGGGCTCTAAAGCCCATCCTCCCACTGGTAAGAACTACTTAGTTTATTGTCCCAAGCATCTCAAAGAGGACCTTGGCCAGGGTCCCAAGAATGACCAGAAGTGGGAGGAACTTAGCTGGTATGGGATGGGGCTCACAGCTTCTCTCAAGTTTTGAGAGGTGGTAGTTTTTAGGTGGTAGGTGTAATTTTGTTGTTCACAGGAACTCTAAAGTTTTTGATTTTCATCAGTGACTCAGGAAAGGACCATCCTGAATCTCCTTTTACTTCCCAGAACTCTAGAAAACTTTTCCATATTCTCTGCTCTCCCTTTCACTCCAGCCCTAAGCTCCCTGCTCAGGAAGAGCAGTTTGCACCTGCATCCTTCCTACCTGACCCACAGCCTACCCTACCCTGACAGTCTCCCATCATCAATGGCAGAGAGCAGAGAAATAAGAGTCTTCTAGTTCCTCCCCAACCCTTTTCTTTTTCCGGTATGTGAGTCAGTTGGGGGAAGGGCAGCTCTCACTCTGGCTGATAGTTCTGTGACCTGGGTCTATTTACTGCATGAATTCTGTTGGGAGATGGAGCACAGCAGGTTTCTGGCTGGCCTGATACTGGCTGCCCTTCTATCCCAAGGTAAGGCTTCTCCAGGTGGGTGGAAGCATCTTGGAGAGGGGACCTGAGAGGGACATTGCCACCGGGAGTGTAGTCTACTTGAAAGTCCTTCTCAGTGCTAGCTTCAATTTACTAGGCAGGGTTGTCAGGGAGGGCAAGGTTGGGATGTAGTGTGGGGAATGGGAAACAGTCTCTTGGCTTTGACAGACTTTGGTTAGGGGTACATCTTTGGCTTCACTATCTCTCTGAATGCCTTAGGCCAGAGATCCATAGGAAATGTTGCTAGCATGTGTATGCCTGAGACTAGGGCTGACATTGGGAGCACTGTTACTGTAGGGTAGATAGCCTCTGGGATCCAGGACTCTTGGTCCTTAGGCCATCGTTATGTCACCTCTTGGAGCCATGCCACAGCGGTGAGGGGAACACTTTAAGTAAATAACTTTAGGTTGAGCATGAGGGAGGGCAGAATTGTGGTAGGAGAATGACTGGCTCACTTCTGTTTGCCTGGTTTTAAAACTGATAGTCCTGTGTCTCAAGAACCCTCTTAATCCCAGGCAAACTGGAATGAATGGTTACCATAGGAGTCAGCTGCTTTGGGACATTTAGCATTTGCATTGGAAGCAGATTCCCAAGGAAGACATGAGTGTAGGATATGAAGTATCTGATGTACTTGTGTCTCTCTGAGTATACACGCATATGTTCCTGACCTGATTCAGAGGCACTGTGGTTTTCTAGGGGATGCTCTTGTGTCCAAATTGGTAACTGAGTATAAAACTTAGGAAGAATATAGACTCCACAGTGCTTCTGTGGAATGTGGAGATGTTCTTTGTCAAAGCAATTCAGTGGATCTAGAAAGGTGCCCTTAAACTCCCCACAAGACTTGACTCAGGTGGAGCCCCAAGGATAGATTTGATATAAATTTTTTCGATCCCCATCCCCTTAAGCAAGGGTAGAACAACAAAAATGTTTACATGGGATTTGCCCTGGGTCCCCTTCTGGAACACTCACTGAGCTGGTAATTCATACCAGCTTCTCTCATACCCCCAACCATCATTGGCCCTTTGTAGTTGTTGGAAAGTGGTCTTTCTTAAGTATGAGCCTCAGCAGAACAAGGAGTCTTAAGTATGAGCCTCAGCAGAACAAGAACAAAGAGGTGGCTACAATCATGGTTTTTTGTTTTTTGTTTTTTTTTTGTCCTCAGTGAGCCCTTGGCAGAAATTTGTGGAGGAACTTGAAGACAAAGTGATTTTGAATTGCAATAGCAGCATCACATGGCTAGGGGGAACGATGGGGAAACTGTTAGACAATAAAACTCTGGACTTGGGAAAACGCATCCTGGACCCACGGGGATTGTATGAGTGTGAAGTGACACCTAAAAGTGACATCAAAATATTTACTGTGCAAGTATATTATCGAAGTATGTACCTCCTAAACCTTTGGGTGGGAACAGATAGGGCCTCTGGATTTGAGAACTTTCTAGATGGTGGGAGCTGTGGTGGACCAACCTGTTCTCTAAAAAAACTGAGGTCCCTGTTATAATGGTATGAGCAGATTTTGGGGCCCTCAGAGTTGGAGAGAGCTTAACTAATGAAGAAAGAGCAGTAGGGGCCTTGTTGGGAGAGTGGTTTGGCCTTGCCTTATTGAATTTCCTGCAAACCTGGGACTATTTCATGGTTTTCCCTAGGGATTTTTTTTGGGAAGAAGTGTAGGCCTTTCTTCAAGGATCTTAAGTTCAGGCCTTGGCTTGAGAGGTCCTGGGGTTGCCCTGGGAGGGAGGGATAGTTTCCTGATCTTGAAGTTACCCCACCTCACCTTTTGTCTCCCTCCCTCAGTGTGTCAGAACTGTGTGGAGCTGGACTCAACTACTCTGGCAGGCATTATTGTCACTGATGTCATTGCCACTCTGCTCCTCGCTTTGGGAGTCTACTGCTTTGCTGGACACGAGACAGGAAGGCTCTCTAGAGGTAAGTGGAAGGGACAGAGAGTGTGTGCATGTTTGTGTCTTGTGGGGTGGGTGTGAGTGTGCCCCTACTAAGGAATGGGGCTAGAGCGGGTTGTGTCTCATGTGAGACTCTTGACATCTCATAAGGATTTTTACATCTGATTACTAGAAGAACTCGTGTGTCCAAATTGTTCACGCAGACTTCTGAGGATGTGACCAGCTGCAGTCTCCCTGAGTGTTCACAGAGTCTCACTGTCTCATCCTCCTGTGCCCTTTCTAACTCTGTTTCCCTGATTCTTCTAGTTGCTGACATTCAAGGTCTATTGAGAAATGACCAACTCTATCAGGTGAGCCCTGAGGAGAAAAAGATGAAAATGGAAAGAAGGAGTGAGTGGGGAAGAAGTTAGCACTATGTGTTATGTGCATGTATGAAGGGTCTTAGCGGGGAATTCACTGGGGATAGGGTCTGGGAAAGTCAGGAACCTGCTGGGGGTCTTCCCTAGAAGAGTCCTGACCCTGCCCCGTTCTTGTCTCTTAGCCCCTCAGAGATCGGAATGATGCTCAGTACAGTCGTCTTGGTGAAAACTGGCCTCGGAACAAGTAAATCTGAGACTGATGGCTTATAGGAGCATCAGTTATCGACTGTGCCATCTCTCCTTCTCATCCAATAAAGACGTCTTCTTTCACTCAGCAGGTGCCTGGACTTTTCAACGCTTGGGGCAAGGCATAGCAAGTACCCTGATTTGGTAGGGCCTTTGCCTTCCGGCCTGCTTGTGCTCCTCATTCGTTGCTCCCTTTCTCTGGCTCATGTGGACAGCAGGATGGGCAGTCTCTCACCACATCCTGGCTTACTGGTGTTTCTAACCATGTGGATTCCCTGGGTGCAGGATGTGCCCCACCACACTTCCTTGGCTAATTATTGCCTCCAGCCAGGCCCTATCACAACCCTTTCTGAGTTTTGGGTTCCTCACCACAGCTGAGGGCGGCTGTGGTGTTCAGGGACCCAGCCACATAGAAGTTTCCATGACATCATGAGCGCAGGTGGCAGAGACATTAACAGCCCTGGGACTCAGTTCTTATCAAGAGATGTGTATATGAGAGGACTCCCTTCTACTAAGGGTTGGCCTTGGCTTTCAGTCCTCTGTGAGGCCACTAGCTATGAGGAGGTCTTAGCCTAGGCCCCTTAAGTACCATTTATCTTCCTTTCCCCAGAACCTGCCCCACACCTACCTTCTGCATGGGTGATAAATGCATCAGAAACCTTTCATCAATTAAAACACATCATTCCTCTCCACTCACTTGGAGAGCTGGAATTTGAGGCTGGGTTGGGGCTTAGGGTATTTTCAGTAGATGTCCTCTTTAGCAGGTGGGCTAGTTTTGATTGTGAAACTTTGGGGGCCTGAGGGACTTATTAAGAATATAAATACTTGGGCCCCATTCTAGGCATGTAGTTCTTAGATGATTCTGAAACAATCCCAATTTAGAGTCTCTGGTTTAGAGGAAGAACTGAGGCCTCTTACTGTCTTGTATCCTTTATGCCTGCCCTGTTTACCATAGGTGGGAACCCCTCCTTTTGTTCTCTGAGTAAGAGTAAGTTAATGAACTTCAGAGAAGTTCATTTAATGAGAGTGGTCATTTTCCATATCAGGTTTCTCTCCAAAAGAAAAGAATAACAACCACGTAGCCAGAGATCTGGATGATTCTGCCCACTTTCTTTTCAGGATATACACAGATCCTAATTTTGGTAGACAGAATTAACTTTTACTTTACAACACATGCTACATTCATGATTATGATTTATTCCTACTGTTTATATTCCTACTACTGTAGCCCTCCTAACTTTCACCTTGGGCATGCCCATGGAATATGCCCATGGAATACTACTGAACAAGGAATTCACCTTGGGCAACCCTTCCATGGCATGTATTACACCAGTGCTCTGTCCTGCATACTTCCTTTTACCTTTGTTCTTCATATGCTATTATACTCCTGTATATCTCTCACCAGTTTTCAACATTGGCTGTGCATTGGAATTTCCTGGGGATCTTAAAATGCACTGGTGTCTAGGTGATTCCACCCCCAAGGAGTCCAGTTTTATTAGTATGGGGCATTAGGACTTAGGGTGATTTTAATGGGAAGCCAAGGTTGAGAAATACTGCATCTAAGTACTTTTGGAACTTGCATCCCTTTTGGCATGCTCTCTCTCTGCCTTGAAAAAGCAGATGTACAGAGGTAAACTGACATGAATAAACCACATGTATTTAAAGTTTAAAATTTGGTAAGTTTTGGCACACATACACACTTGTGAAATGTTACCACAATCAAGATAATGAACATATCCAACACCCTGAACAGTTCCCTTGTGTTTCTTTGCATGAAATCCCTCCCTCCTTTCTCTCCTTATCCCTCTACCCTCCAGGCAACCACTGATTTACTTTTTGCCATTACAGATTAGTTTTCATTTTTGTATAGTTTACATAAATGAAATAATGTATTCTTTCTTCCTAAGTTTAGATCTGGCTTCCTAAACTCAGAGTAATTATTTTGAGATTTATCTACCTTGCTGCATCTATCAATAGTTCTTTCTTTTTTTATTGTTCAGTAGTATTCCATTGTGCAGATTACAAGGTTGTTTATCTGTTCATCTGTTGATAGTCTTTTGAGTTGTTTTCTGGTTTTGGCTATTACAAATAAATTTGCTATGGACATTTATCGATATGTCATTGTGTGGATGTATGCTTTTATTTCTATTGAATAAACACTCAGAAGGGGAATAAAACTTTTAAAGAAAGTAGGTTGACTATTCTAGTTCCTTTGCACTCTCCTATGAATTGGCTTCTCAATTCTTACTACAAAATGTGTGCTGGTATTTTGATCAGGAATGCATTGAACTTATAGATCACTTTGGTGAGAATTGACTTCTTAATGATATTTAAAAAACATTGATTTGAAAGAGAGAGAGGAAGGGAAAGCAAGAGAGAGAGAGAGAGAGAGAGAAACATAAAATTTTGTTCCACTTATTTATGTATTTATTGGTTGATTCTTGTGTGCCCTGACCCAGGATCAAACCCACAACCTTGTCATATTGGGATGATGCTCCAGCCAACTGAACTACCTGGTCAGAGCCAACATCTTAATGATACGGAACCTTCCAATCCATGAATGTGTCTTTTGTCAGATTTGTTCTTAAGCATTTTATATTTTTTGTTGTTACTATATAAGGTATTATTTAATCTTTTAGAAGATTTTATTTATTTATTTTTAGAGAAGGGGAAGGGAGGGAGAAAGAGAGGGAGAGAAACATCATGTGTGAGAGATACATCGATCAGTTGCCTTTTGCATGCCCCTAACTGGGGACCTGGCCTGCAACCCGACATGTGCCCAGACAGGGAATCGAACTGGCGACACTTTGGCTCACAGGTAGGTACTCAATCCACTGAGCCACACAAGCCAGAGCTGTACATAGTATTTTTAAAATCTCAATTTCCAATTGTTTATTGATAGTACATAGAAATACAATTGCTTTTTGTATATTGATCTTGTACCCTGAATACTTCTTAAATTCAATTGCTCATTCTAGTAGATTTTGTTTTTGTAGATCGCATTAGATATCCCACAGAGGCAATCATGTTGCTTGTGAATAAAGACATTCTAACTTTTCCATTTCCAATCTGGATTTTTTTTACTTCAGTTTCTTGGCTTATTGCCCTGACTAGAACCTCTAATACAATGTCAAATAGAAGTGGAGAGAGGACATTCTTACTTGCTTGTGATCTTAAAGGAAAAGCATTGTTTTTCATTATTAAGTATGATGTTGGCTATAGGTTTTTATTAGATGCCCTTTAACAAGCTAAGGGCATTTCATTCTCTTTCTAGTTTGTTGAGCATTTTTATCAAAAATAGTTGGAGAGTATTGTCAAGTACTTCTTCTGCATCCATTGAGATGTTAATATGGTTTTACTTTCTTAGTAAAACCATATAAATTACATTGTAATTTATTACATGATAAATTACATTGGTGGCATGATCTGTTAAGCCAATCTTGCATTTCTGAAATAAACTGTGCTTGGTCATTATAATATTTCTTTTAATATATTATTAGATTAAATTTGCTAAAATTTTGTGAGAAATTTTTACCTCCATTTATAAGGAATATCAGTCTTCAGTTTATTTGTAATGCCTTTGTCTGGTTTTGATATCAGGGTATATTAGTCAGAGTTCTCCACAGAAATAGAACTAATAGGATGCATATATATATGCGTGCATCAGCAGCTAGTGGAGATCAACATCATGGAAACTCCTTGTGAACATAAGTATAAATATATATACATATATATGTATACATATACATGCATATATATACATACATATATATGTATACATATACATGCATATATATACATACATATATGTATGTGTGTATAAATATATATATGAAGAGAAAGAGAGAGAGGGAAAGAGAAGAGGGGAGAGAGAGAGAGAGAGATAATTTATTTTAAGGAATTGGCACATGAATTTGTGAAGGTTGGCAAGTCCAAAATCTGCCAGGTGGTCTGGCAGCTTGGAAACCCAGGGAATAGTTGACGTTGCAGGTGGAGTCAAAAGGCAATCTAGAGACAGAGAGAGAGTTCTCTTTTCTTTAGAGCACCTTATTCTGTTTTCTGTTATGGCCTTAAACTGAGACAAGGCTCACCAATATTATAAAGAGTAATCTGCTTTAATCAAAGTCTACTGATTTAAACATTAATCTCAACAACAACAACAACAACAACAACAACAACAAAACACTTTCAGAACAATATCCAGGTGTATCTGATCAAATATCTGGTTACTATGGCTCAGGCAAGTTGACACATAAAATTAACAGTTACAGAAGATAAGTTTGATCTCCATAGAATGAGTTAGAGGTATTCCTTCTTCAATTTTCTGGAAGAGTTTGTGTAGAATTGATATTCTTTCTTAAATGCTTGCTAGATTTCACAGATGAATCCATCTTGGTCTGGCGTTTTGTGTGTGTGTGTGTGTGTGTGTGTGTGTGTGTGTGTGTGTTTGTCTTTTTTTTGGAAAGTTTTTAACTACAAATTCAATTAACTTAATAGCTATAGGGCTACTTAGGTTATCTATTTCATCTTTAGTGAGCAGAGTGCCTTCTCTTTTGCCCATCTTCAAATTCTACCCATCCTTCCCTTTAAGGCCCAGATCAAGTCTCTCCTTATTCATGTTGCTTTCCTGACACTTCAGCTCTCTCATTTCCTTCTCAGAACACCTATAACACTGTCTATATCATTCATGGGTGCATAATCACATTTGTTCTTCTGTTGTCATTTAAATTTCTGCATGGTTAGGCGCTATTGTATGACTGCAAGTTCCTTTAAGACTGAAACTGCTCATTTGTATCCCCTGATTACTTAGCAGAGTGCTGGTCTGCCACCTGAGTGATTAGAAAACATTCATTGAGAGAATACCTAAACAATTTCATACAGAGCTCTTAAGTCAGGAAAATGGAGAACATTACTTATGGTCACAGTTGGCTCTGGGTAACTATTTAGAACGTTGGAGTTGGACAATCCGGGCTCCTAATGTCAGCTCTGTTCTTTACTAACTGTGCATCTTTACAGGCAAATGACCTTACCTCTCTGAGCCCCTATATCTTCACCTGTAAAACAAGGATAACAACAAGTACCCTGTCAAGTTGTCATAAGGATTAAATGAGATAGCACATGTAAAGTGCGAAGCATAATTTCTGGAGCATAGCAAATGCCTACTAAATGTTAGCTATTACTCTTATCAAGTTGGAGTCACACTTCCCCTTGACCTGGCATCATCAAGTATACCTGGGACAAAACTTACACCCCTGGGCCAGTCTGCTGATTAGCAGCTAGTGAAGGTCAACATCATTGAGACTCCTTGTGAGCATAAGCATTGAGTGTTTAGAGGAAAAGCAGCAGCATTTCAACAGGGACCATCATATAGAAACTGTAGCCACAAGCCCAAGGCTAAGTGTGTAGAGTATGTGGAGGGCTACTTTTTCAGTCCTGGTCACACACATAAATAGCCCTGTGGTCAGCAGGGAGGTTTCGGAGTGCAGATGGAAGAGAAGAGAGCCTGCTGCCTTGAGCTGGACTAAGACAGACACTCAGTGCTCTGGCCTCCTTTCTGCAGGCTGAGCATGTGCCTTAGAAGACTGAGGAGGAAGCCCTCCCACACTGGCCTTTGGCTGCTGCTACATCCCTCTCACCCTGCTCCACCCGCTCTGCTCCACCCGCAGCCCACATCCTGGCTACTAAACCGCAGCTGCTCCTCGCTGCTGGCTGCTGCCTCTCATAGCAGAGGGAGTGGTGCCTGCTTGACGGCACCTCCTTCCCCATTTCCCCCCGCCCCAGCTCTGCAGCACTTTCTTTTCTTTTTCCTTCATATGACAAAGATTCTTCATTTATGAAAACTTCTACCAAAATTCTAATAGAAATTTATCTGGTCATTTACAATAAAATTACTCTTATAAAAAACAGTTTTTAGTGCATAATCAATGAAATATACTTAAATATAAAAACAGTTTTTATAAATGTTTTCTGGATTGCTTTTTATAATTAAAAATACTTTTTGACATCAAACTGATTGTATTAAAGACTTTTTTCCTTCACATTTTGGAGCTGAAATAGAAGTGTGCCTAGGTCTCTTCACCAACACTGAAACCCATTGCTGAGACAGAAGGTGTGAGTCACATCTTGATTAGTCTAATCAGTGAAGGCAAATGTAGTGGTACATATCACCTCAAATCGTGATCACTCATGATGCTGTCTGCTTGGTATTAAACTGTATATAACTCTTTCTTCACATTCATTCAACATTGAGCTCCTACCATGTGCCAGTCTCTGTTCTAGGCACTAGGAATGCAGTCATGAAAATAAGACAGACACAATCTTTGACCTCAGAGATTTTTTTTTTTTTTTTAAAGATCTTACTAGGCCCCAGGTGCTGGTAACCACTTTACCTAGATTAATTGACTTAACCTTTTCAGCATATCTGATTTTCAGATGAGGAAGAGACACACTAGGAGGTTAAGTGACGTGCCCAAGGTCACATGGCTGGTGGTGCAGCTTGTGGAAATCTATGTCCTGGCCCCCAGCCCCCTGCACTCTTCTCAGCTGGTGCCTTCATCTGCCTTTTAAGGCCTGTTTCTGTCTCATTCATTTTCTAAACTGACCACTTTGTCAGTCTCGGTCACCCTTGATGTTTTTCTCCAAAAGAAGTTAGTCAAATGACTAATTGTTCTGTCTCTTTTAATTATTCCCTAATGCACTCCTCTCTAAAGAGAGCTTCTGGTAATGCCTTACCTGCTGTGAAAACAGATAGTACTTGTCTTTGAGATCACAGCTGGGAATTTAGTTAAAGGTAGGGAGGATCTGAGTTTTTTCAGGAAACAAGGCAGCCTCAGAGGGCCTTCCAGAAAAGAGGGACAACAATTCTTTTAGCCAAATACACTTTATTTCTTTTCTTTCCCAGACAACATGGAGCCTAGCATATTCATGGAGATGGAATGACCATCCAGGGGCCTACAGTGGAGATGGGAGAGAAAACAAAGTTCTGGCTTTGGGCCAGTGTCTGTGACTGGGTCAAGACCTCTGCCAACATTCACCCAGCAGTGCATTCCTAGAGAGGGGTCAACAAAAAGGGAGCTGGAAAAATAGAAAGGTAGATGGGGCAGTTAGGTTTGGGGGCAACTTTTAGGCAGGAAAAGGAGGATACTGAAGAGAGAAGTAACATCCATCAGGGGAGAAAGGAATTGGGAGTGGTGGTAAATAGCAGAGATAAATATCCTTACAAGAGTGCAGGCCAGATGTGAAGGGGTAAGTAGCGATGATATTTCAAAGAACAACGAAGAAGGAATACCCTGGGATGAGGCTCCAGCAGAGAAGATTGGAAAGAGAGAGGGGATAGAGCTGCAGGTGTGAGTGAGTTCTACACTAGGCAGAAGGACAGTTTTCCTGTGGAGTCTAAGACTTGCCCAGGAAACAGAGGAGCAGGGTGCTTGGAAAAGAAGGAGCCAAGACTGGGCCAGTGGGAGATGCAGTGTCCTCAGGAGCTGTCAGGTGCCTCTCTGGTTCAGCCCAGAATACAGGTCCCGCTGGCCTTTCCGGATGGGCTAGGGGTGAATAGAGGGAGTGGTCAGCAGGATGGGAGGAAGTAGTTCCTTAGGAAGATGGGACTCCAGCCATCTAGCTTTAATGCAGTGGAAAGAACCTTGGACTAGAAGTCAGGAGGCAGGCTGGAACTCTAACTTGGCATTGACTGGTAATCGACTTGATCTGGTCACATTCTTCTGTGAATCTCAGCTTTTCTATATTAAGAATGGGAATCCGAAGACCAACTTCTCAGGGCTTTTGTTGGAATTAAATAAAATCACATGGGAAAGTGAATACTATATACTTGGCTGGTGCTCAATAAATATGTGTTGAGTTTGTTCAAGTGTGATATTCAAAATATTTAACAATTGTAGTGTATACAGAGCAACCAATCAGAAAAATCCTGATGGGTTTCTGCTATGCTAGACATTAACTCTTTAGTTGCCAAATCAAGGGGCAGTTCAGTGGGGAGTGGCTGTGATGTCTGGCATTGGGTGCTGGGGACAGGGGAACTTGGGGCTTTTTATCAGTGAACTATTTTAATAATTCAACAACTGGTATGATTACACTTGTGCATACTGGTGGCACATCAATCCTGAGTTTATCATGCTATAATTTACATATGTGTTATTTCTCATGGCTGTATCCCAGCTAATGAATAAGAACACCAATGAAGGAAGAGTGTCACCTCTCCTCTGCACCAGCTGCTCTGTGGTGGTAGAGGCCCTTCGGCCTTGAGATGGCCTTGTTTTACCATGACAGAGGCAGAAGTGGGCACGCAGTGAACTGTCCTGCAACCCTGAGTGGGGAGTTAGGGTGCCTGGCAGGCCAGATGAGCAGTCCCTCCTGTCCCCTTCTCCCATAGAAAGACCCTATCCCCGCACTCTATCCTTCGTTACCTCATAGTCTGGATTGGGAACAGGTGGTGGCCTCTCCTTGTTTTGTCCTGCAGAGGAGAGAGGGAGAAAGATTTGTTGTTTCCATGAGAGAACCCGATCTTGTGGCAATGAGACCCAGATCATGATAGCAAACCCTTTCATTCTCTCCTCTAAGTCTCCCTTTTCCATTTCAGCACCTTTTATCTTTTCTTTCTTTCATCCCATTGCTAATGCCCCTGTCTACTGTTCTTATCATTCGGTGGCTTTTCTCAGCTCAAAGTCCTTCCACCCTCTTTCCTTTCTCATGGAGGAAGGGAAAGGAAAAGGCAGAAACTAATGTCCCGAAGTCTTTCTCCCCACAGACTGGGGTAGAATTTGATTATTTCAGAACACTGACAGGCATTGGAGGAAGCCCACCCTGTTATTGAACTTTTTTTGCACTTTTCTAAGGTGGGAAGGAGAAGAGTTACCTGTGATGTGAAACCCTCTGTTGAGATCTTGGCAACATAGTGAATGTTCCATAGGAGCTGTTTTGACTAAGCCGTGGACTTGCTGCCCATCCTGCCCCAGGCTGGGAATCTCCTCCCACCCAACTCCATGTTTCTTACCACTGGGCCTGCTGCCAGCACCTACTCCTCTGGTCACAGGCTTGGTCTTGGCCTTTCTATTCTTGCTCCAGTAATATACCGGCAGAAGCAAGCCCAGAGTAATGCAGATGTCGACTATGATGATTGTAGCTACGGCTGTCAGATCCACTTCTATGCAGTTCTCACACACTGGGTGGGGGGCAGGGTGGGAGAGAGAAAGGGTGTGGGAGAAGAGGAAAAATCACCGAGGAAGAAAGACACAAGGACATTGGAGATGAGAAAAGAACAAAGAAAGGTGATTCTCCCTTCAATACTCACATGCTGGCCGTAGCCAGAGTAGAGCCCTCCCTTTCAATATGTTTAGAACAATAAACAAAAGGTGGCTGTTATGAGTAGAAGCTCTGGCAACAGAGAGTCTGGGTTTAATTCCAGCTCTATTACTCACTAGCTGTGAGAATTGTGAAATGTGTTTTCAGCTCCCAAAGACTCTGTTCCCTCATCTATAAAATGGGAATAAAATAGTACTTAATTTGTATGAGAGGATTACATGAAAAAAATTTCTGGCAAGTCTTTAGTGTAGTACTTGAAACTTAATAAGCACTCAATAAATGTTAGCTATCATTAGGATTTATTATTATGCCTTAGCTTATGATATTTTATTATAGTAGCTTTGATTCTCTCTTGAAAATCCTTCTGAATTTTCAAAATTCTGGATAAAGCATCCAATGAACTCATATCAGTATGCCATAATTCTGGAGTGCTGTAATGAAAATGACCCAATCCTGTCTTTTGGGAAGTTGTTGTTTTAGATGAAGTGCAAACTGAGCTTACCTAGACAGTCCCAAATTGTTCTTAGTCATTATTTCAGAAAACGCTGATGCCCCAGAGAGTCCCGATACTGAGTGTAGGAGAGACATAAAGGTGCCAGGGAACTGTGGTTGGGTTGGAGGAAATAATTGAGAAGCCCTTTTGAAATCATTTTTCCTAAGGAGTCTTGTAGTGTTTGAGTTGGAGACCTATCTTACCTCTTGCTTTTAGGTAGAGATAATGGAGATTCTCCCTCGAGGTGCTTATGTAGCAGGCATAATAACCACTGTCTTTCACTTCTGAAAAATCGTCCAGTACTATGTGGCTCCCTTTATAATGGCTTTTTGATTGACCATCTTTTTCCCAACTTGTTGTTTCAGATTGAAGATTCTTAGGGCATGTCAGCTCTACCTTGGTTCCGGAGATGGAGACTTTATATGCTGGGAATGGGATAGAAGAGAAAGAAAATTGGAAGAAGAAACCGCTAAGATTTCGGGAAAGGAAAATTAGTAACAGAAGAACCAACCAAATGCAGAAAATCATTTGTCAGTCAAGTTTTAGATTTTCTTGTCAAAGGGAACTCTACTGGCTAAAGAGTAGGAAAGAAGTTACACAGGGTGGGACTAGAAAACCTTTAGAGAGTGACTTCAGAGTGTAGGCATGGACATGGGAACTGGGGAAGGGGAGAATGGAAGTAAAGAAAGACCTATTAAAGTTTCTATTTGCAGTGTTTCTAAACTATAATGTTGGGAGGACCTCCGTTCTCGGGATTATCTCTCTCAATCAATTCCTTCTCTTCTATCCACACTGACCTGCATCCTCAGGTGGGGAATACCTAAAAGAATGATAAACTTACTTTTTAGAGTATGTGGAAATTCACTTGAAAATGAAAAAAGGAAAGAGTATAAGACAATAACCTTGGTTTAAGTTTAAATTGTAGGTAAAATTTTTCAAGTAGGACTGGCCACTATCTCCAAGGATTCCCGAAGAGGTAAGCTTACAAGATAAGAACTCAGATACATCAAACTGAGAATATACCAGCATGTGTTTTTTGCTCTGGTTCCACCAAAGCTCAGAAAGTCTTCAAATTCTAAAACTGAAAAGTCCTAGAAGTCTTCAAGCTTACCCTCTTGCATTAGCAAGAACCATATTCCAGGTAGATATGGAAGGGTCTTTTCAGGGATAAATGCCTTTACATTTTTGAATCACTGATTCTTGGATTTACCCATTTTTAATTATTCAGAAGTTCTTTCTTATAACTAACATAATCCCTCATAATAGTGATCAAACATCTTCTTCTTCTGTACCAAATTTGTCTTATTGCCTTTAAATTATGTGAAGCACTATACACATTTTAAGGGAATGGTTCTTCCAAAAAAAAAAAAAAGCTTTATTTTAAATATTGCTGAGTATAATCAATTCCCAATTAGTTTTGCTAGAGGGAGGAACTATTGGTGTGGACAACTTAAAGCCATTATAGAATTTGGGGATCCAGCCACATTCCCCACAGTAGGCAATTTTGCCCTAGGGACGTGGGGCTGGGGTACATCCTCATCTCTTGGAAGACTTGTAGTTGGGATACTGAGCAGCACCAGGCTTTATTTGAGCCTGAATATGACAGCTGGAAAAGAGGAGAGGTGGTGGTGCCCAGAGATAGCCTTCTCTCTTTTGGAGGTGTTTTTCTACAGTATGCTACTGAGGACAGATCACTGGGCTGAATCAGAAGTCCTGTTTTTGAAATTCCATATCCGCCTTCTTAGACTGTGTGACCAAGAGCAAGTCATTGAACTTCTCTAAGCCTCAGTTTATTATCTGGAAAATGGAGATAAAACATCTGCCTCACAAAGTGTTTGTGGGAATTAAATGGATTGTGAAGGCAAAAATGGATGGGGCATAGCAGATGCTTAAGAAAAACATTAATTATTTCCTTCCTTTCCTTCATAAGGTCCTGCTACAATGGAGAATAGAACTGAGATCTGACCCAGCTGCTCAGGTAGCTCTTTGGCTGAGATCATATGGAATGTAAACAAGTCATTCTCCAGCTTTATCCATCTGCTAATAATTGGGAGTTGAGTATAATGACGATTTACAGTCGACCTTATTTTGACTTAGAAATAATTTTTCAGCACTGATATTTTTAGAAGTGCTAATTAACTACAAATCATAAATAAAAGAATATAAAAGTAAATAGACATTTCACTCTGCTTGGTGTGTTTGATGGAAAAGGAAATGTAAAGAAAATTGTTCACAACTTTTATTAGTACAAATTTAATAGCAGAGCTTAGACTTCTACGTGCTCATACAGGGCTTAGAAGTTTATGCTTATACATAGCATGTATGCTCACAAAGATTTTACACATGTCTAGAGACAGTGTCTCATATTGCTTGAGAATGTGAATTTCAGTATTAGCTAAATCTGCATTTACATTTATTTCTGTGATTGGACTATTTACTTATTTTCTAAACTTGGTTTTCTTATTTGTAGAATAAAGATGTTAGATGAGGACATTCAGCTAAAATATTTATAGCAATACCTAGGACATTCATGCTTATTGTCTAGTCTGCATGCATCCTGTGTAATAACAACTAAAATTCACTAGCTGCCTTCAATATTTCAGATACTTTTCTAGGTGAACTATTCATTCAGTCCTCATAACCATCTGACATTATGTAGCGTTATTATTTTCATTTTACACAAGATGATGTTGTGGAATGGAGAAATTAAATAAATTATTCAAAGAAACTCAGCAAGTAAGGAGTCCACCCAGAAGTTAGATATGGCAGTCTAACTTCAGAGTTAAGATTCTTAACCTCGTACTACACAGCCTTAACTCCTTTGCCTAAAATGCTCCTCTTTCCTAAAATACAAGCTCATTTTTAAAAACTGGGCTCAAGAATCACCTCCTCTGGGGAGCTTTCCTCAACTACTCTCTGTAGAGTTGACCACTCCTTTTTTTGTGTTTTATTTTACTCTGTCTCTACCCATATCATAACATGCAACACACTATACTACCAATTTTTTATCTCTCACACAAGACCATTGGCTTCTTGAGGAGAGGAACGTAATGATTCATTCCTATGTATAATTATTTATTCATTAAAAGATATTCATTGAGCACCTGTTCTATGCCAGACACTGGGCCATGTAAACAAGGCATCATTTCTGCCTTAAATGAACTCATGATTTACCCAAAAACTTGTGGTGGCTCTAACCCTTACCCACAAGTATCTTCTTCCCAGAACATATACTCAGGGATATATATCATGCTTAGCTATGATTAAATATGACAGCAACAAACAAACATAGGCACTATACATACATGTTCTATTGAAAAATAATTGTACTTTTCCTCTAATAGTTCTGGTTCTCAGTGTTTATTACAATAATTGTCCTCTATGACCATTTGAAAAGAGGTTGTATAGAGCAAAAATCCTCTTACCATTATCTTCATTCTCTGAAAAGGAAATAATAAGAAACCATTAGCAATACTTCTATCAGAGACTAAGATCAGATCCTGCTCCCATGGGTTAAGATTCCTTCCTCAACCTTTAAATAACAGTGGCTCTTCAAATTCCCCAATGGCTGTATACGAAAAGCTGTTTTGGGCTCTACATCCTACATTAAAAAACTGGTTGCTATTTACAGAAATGAACTCTAAATAATCATTTCACTATATATATACCAAATCATTACACTGTATACCTTAAAGTTATACCATATTATATATCAATTATATCTCAATAAAGCTGGGAAAAACAGATCTAGTATATGTGCAGCTGAAGTGAGCACTAAAACAGGTCTGTATTAAACATAAATCAAATGCTAAACAAAAGTCAACTCTAAATGGCAACAGCATGCAGAAGAGATGAGCTATGCTGAAACGTATCAGTGCTTTTTGACATATCCCATTTGTCAAGAATGTAACATTAAAGTATGCTGCATGGCCAAAAAAAAAAAAAAAAAAGAAAAGAAAAGAAAGGGGAATCCCAAGGACATTACTAATTAGGAAGTGCACTGGAATGTAGATTGGCACCATGACTGCCTTTAAACACAAAACACAAGAAGGCTTCCAATATTGGGACACCCTTTTTGACTCTACCGCTATGATTGAGAAAATAAGTCCAGGCCAGGCACACTTGTATTCATGTGCACACATGGGCACATACACACACACATCCAGTGTATTTGGACATGAGTTTCTGAATGTGCACTCAAATGCTGCACCTCCCTACATTCATTCAACCCACATACCCTTTAAAAAATCTCACATCAAATATCAAATGCAAGCAAACGAAACTGTTGGCATTTTCAACTCAATTTAATAGTTTCAATTTTTTTTTCCTTTTGAATAGCTAAGACTTGTTATTTCCTATGATCTCTGGTGTTTCTCTGTTCTGGGCTATAGCCAGAATTATCTCTAGACTTGTGAAGAAAAAGGCAAAGGAGAAGATGGTAGAAACCCCTTCTATTGGTCTCTGTGGGTGGTCTAGAGGAAGCTCCCCTCATAAATTCAAAGAATTCTGGGCTGATTTCATGAAAAGGAAACAAAGTGTATCTCACCTTCTTGCCCCCAAGCACCAGCTAGAAAATAAATAATAAGAAAAAAAGAGTTAGTAAATGTGCGAGTGCCTGATATTCCAAGCAGAAAAAGTGCTGTGGTCTTGTCTGACCACTTCTGAACAAAATCAGTCATTCCTGTACCACAAATTCCTGGTCAATTTGGGATGAAACAGAGCAAGAAAACATCTAGAATTGAGCAAGAAAACATCTCGAATTAAACAAGAAAACACAATATTTGACAAACAGAAGTTAGAAAAAGCTGAAGCTGCTTTTGGGTGACTGGAAAAATAGTAACAAAATTTCGCAAGCACATTTTCATTTTGAAAGTTGTCCTCTGCAGAAGAAACACAAGCTCTTGGTTGGGTACAAGCATGGAGATTCTTGTTCCATCTCTGGCTCCTGTTTGTCTGATGTTTCAGTTTTTCCATTTGTTTTGCGCCTAATACAGATGAAAATATTTGAAACTCTGATTACACATCAGCTACAGCCTGTGCACTGAAGAACTTAGCCGCATTTCCACTGGGCCCTTCAGATCCTCTCATTCAGCAATAACTGGGATTCAGTACAATGACCAGTTTTCCTTGATTGGCCTGAAAGTTTCCTGTACCTTGACCTCTCTTTTACCAATAGCCTCTACACTGGCTGAGATACCGCATCCCTCCACCCGTCTTCAATATCCACAGCAGACTGGGCACGTTCTTGTAATCATGGTGCCAAATCTTTAGAACTTGGGTCCTTGGTATTCATTCATTCATTCTCTCTCTCTCTGCAAAGCATAATTGATACTATAGGCCTCTAAGAAAATATTTCTTGCAGGAGTTGCACCCTGCACCTTGATAATCCAAATGTATTCTTTGGACCAGTAGCAGACTAATAAGCCTGACAGCTTATAGAAATGCAGGATCATGATCTCTAATTCAGACCCACTGTAGCAGAAGCTGCAGTTCAACAAGATCCCCAGTGATTTGTGTGTACATGCAAGCTTGAGAAAGTCAAGATGAAGCAGGAAGAGGAGACATCATAGCTCTGGTTTTAATCGGAGCCCCAGCTGGGAAGCATTGCCTAGGGCTCTGAAATAAAACCATTGCTGCCTCCTGTAATGCAGTCATTAGGAGCACAGGCCTTGAAGACAGATAGCCCTGATCTCCCAGATCAGCTTTAATGCTTACTGTATGAGTTTAAACAAGTTATTTAACTTCTTTAAGTATCATTTCTTTATCTATAAAATAGGGGAGGCAATGTTTGTCTCACAAGATGGAGGTAAGGATTAAATTTGTTACCACATGTAAAGATTTTTTTTACACAGTTATCTGGAACTTAATAAATGGCAACCTTTTAAAGAAATTGTATTTATCTTATATGAGATACTGGAAATGCTCTTGGTTGTTTATCAATTGTTCCACCTTGCTTCAAAAAGGACTAAACTAATTGAAAGTTCTTGATTAACTGAAAAGAACTGAAAATTATGGAGTGTTTTAGTGTCCTACACATAAAGCTTGCTACATCCTGTGCTGAGCTTGGGTTCAACTACATGGTCTCCTCACAACAAGTAGCAATGGTTGGTTCTTCTAATCTCTTTTGTATTAATTCTTTTTTTTTTAATCCTCACTCAAGGATATGTGCATTGATGAGAGAGAGAAAAAGAGAGAGAGAGAGAGAGAGAGAGAGAGAGAGAGAGAGAGAGAGAGAGAAACATCAATCAGTTGTCTCTTGCGTGTGCCCCAACCAGGGACTGAATCTGCAACATAGGTATATGCCCTGGTCCCCTGACCAGGGATTGAATCCACAACCTTCTGGTGTAGGGGATGACACTCCAACCAACTGAACACCTGGTCAGATCTCTTTTGTATTAATTCTTAAAGGCTGGGTAGTTCACTGACAGAAAGAGCTCATTCTTGAGGGCAGAGAGATCACTTTGTTTTTAGTAGATGTGACCATCCCAACTGCTTTTCTTTGGCTGTCCCCTGAAAGGTCTCTGAGGCCTCTGAGCATGCTTTTCCATTAGCCTTGATCCCTAGTTTCCTATGTTAGCATTGCACAAATAGCTCCTTAGGTCTTTTAGTCCATGATGCCCTTGGTACCACTGGGCAATGCCAGCTTAGGCTGTGAGCCTTGCCATAGTCTGGAGAAATACCACTTATTTTCATTTCATCTTACTCACCTGATAAGAGGCAGAGTCCCAGAACTCTCCAGAGATTCCCCGACTGCATCTTTCTCTCACTGGATACTAACTTTACCTAAGATGGCGGAGGCCAATTGACGTATTACTTCTGAAAAAGAAATCAAAGGACTTTTTCAAAACCCCTGCTGAAGATGAGGACCCTGTGGCCATTGCTTCCAACACTTGGATGAAAGAGGGGGCTTTTTAAGAGGGAGACTCACCATTTTCCGAAGCAGGCACCTAGGGCTGGGAGGGGAGGCGGATTTCTGAACCCCACACAGGAAGTGTGGAGGGGCCTGTGGGCCTGCAGGGTGCAACGTCACTTGGAAACGTTTGAGGCAGAGGCAGCCACCTGTATTGGCTGGGGAGAGTTGGGCCCATATCTTTTCATAGGACAAGCAAGAGGGCTGGCAGAGCCTGAAGGTGCAGTGAAAAATACATGCAGTTTAGCTGCTGGGGCCTCACACAATGTACTTCTACATTGTGGGCCCCTTTCTCAGATACTCCTCCCCCACAAACAAGCTGTGACAGGAAGAGAGAGGAGCACTTTATGGCATAGGCATGGAGCAGCAGGGTGCAGCTATCTCATTAACAAAAGCTGTTGGCTCAAAAATACACATTGGCTTAAAACCATGAGATGCCATTTTTGGCCTATATTTATAAAAATATTTTAAAATACAATATTCAATGTTGGAAAGGATAAAAAGTGATAGTCTCAAAATATGCTGACTTGAATGTGTAAACTGATACAGACTTTCTTGATTTTTAAGAATGCATTAATCAAATACCATATGCCAGGTACTGTGCTGAGGACTTTACCAATATATATTATTTAATCCTCAAAACAACCCTTTAAGGTAGGTATTATTTTTATCCCCACTTTATAATTGAGTACACCGAGGCTCAGACAAATTATCTAACTTATTAGAGAGCTGGAATCCTAGAAAACATTTTGGCAAAATTCATTTATTTAGTAACTATTTAATGTCTACTATACTGTAATATGTGCTGGGTGCCAGTAATATAGCAATAACATGATAGACGGTCCTCGTGGTGGGTGAGAAGAAATGTGGACATTAAACAGATTATTTCAGGAGATTGATGCTGAGAAAGAGGACATATAGGTGCTGCAGAAGTGATAAAAGGGAACCTAATATAGTGCAGAGGGTAAGGAAGATCTCCCTGAGAAGGTGACATATAAGCTGAAATGTGATGGATGACTAGGAGTGAACCAGGGGGAGAGGAAAAACAAGTGAAATATTTCAGACAGTAGAAGCGGCATGTTTGAAGCCTGGAGATGAGGAAGAGAGGTCCATTCAAGAAACTGGATGTCCAGGATGGCAGGTAATTGAGAGTGAGAAGGAATGGCAAGAAATGGGCCAGGAAACTCAGCTGAGGCTAGAAGGGGTGGGATTTATAAGACTTGTTACAGATTCTTAATTAAGGATTAATCTAAGGGCAATGGAAAGCAATTGACAGGTTTAAAATAGGGAAGTGACAGTATCAAATTCTCTAAAATCGTAAATGAGAAACAATTATGGAAGTAACACATGGACATGTTAAAAACAATGAAGAACACAGAAAGGTACAAAATAACAGTCCCCTGCCCCACCTCACCTCAGCCCTATTCCTCTCCCTAAAGCAAATCACTTTTAACTTTGTAAACTGTTTTTCTTTTCTAGTTACTTTCTTACCTTTAAATATGCATTCTCTATCACTTGAGCTTTCTAAGTTTGAGATTTGTGTGCAGGCGGCTCACCAAGAGAGTGCAGGAGCAGCACCTGTAAAGAAAGGAATCAGAACTGGGCAGAAGGAGAAGGTGAACTACAATAAGGTAGCAACAGAGACCTCAGCCAATCCTCTGAAGAGTTCTCAGGCTGAGGTCAGTTTCTGTGAGAGGGCTCCCCTGTGATCCTCTGGGGACAATCCCAGCAGCTGGGGGAGTGAGCAGTCCTCAAAGGACGACCTGGGTGGCCGCACGGCACAGACAGTTCACTTCTTGGACTACTTAAATCTACTTGCTATATGATAATTTCATCCCCTCCTCAAACAGCCTTTTTAGGACTCAGGTTAATCTCTTTTCCTGAAGAAGCTTAGAAAGGGAAAGTTAGTGCAACAAATTATGGCAGCTGTTCTGGTGGCTGCATCTAATAGTCATCACCTTCCTTTGTTATCTATTCTGGATTGCTTCCAGCCTCTGCTAGCACTTCCATTGACCTAAGGGAAGACATAGCTTGAGAAGGCTGAGCCCATGGGTGGTGTGGTCTTTTCAGTCTGTAAACCCTTGAGTTTTAATGCATTCTCTCTGCTCCCTGAAGCCCTGACTCCTCCTGATAATGGGAGACTCACTCTGCTGGGAGAGTGAATTTTTGTTTGTTTGCCTACTGGCCTGCTGGCAGCAGTATGCAGCAGGTGTAGCTTAGTTTAATAGGACTCTTTCTGTGTTCCATGGTAGAAGCATTCTTACCCCTGGAAACCATGGTCTCTAGAAACTCAGAGTCTAGAGTTAATGGAACAGAAAGCACAAATTTCCCAAATGGTTCACTGTGAGTAACGGTAAGCATTGGTACTTCTACTTCCAACCCTTAGTATCTGGATGCATGTATTCTACTTCTTGGGGACACAGTACCATATTATAGTCATTAATTTATGATGTGCCACACTCTGGGTCATCAAGGAACATGTGTAAAGGACCCATGGACAAACCAAAGGGGGGTAGGATTGAGGGTGGGAGGTAGAGGTCGGGGGGTAAGGGGAGAGTAGTGTGGGGAAAAAGGAGACAACTGTACTTGAACAACAACTAAAAAAAAAAAGATGTATGCCATATTCTAAAAGATAGTGCCCCAGCCTGCAGGGTGTCATCTCTAAGTTGATACTTAGCTGCATCTTCAAAAGTCTGGCTCTTCAATTTACCAATCAAGGGGCAGTTTCAGGATGGTGTAATACATGATAGGACTAGGGGATCCCATGCTTATATGTCTATATATACTTTTGTTATAAAGTAAGTCCCTTGGTCTGTTGATCTAATGCTGATGGATCAGACAATATGTGAACTCTTGAATAGTAGGGCTAGCTGAGACATGGCAGGCAAGGAAATCAAAACCATACCCAGAATATGAATCAATTTCTATGAAATTAATTGAGCCCTTTCTAAGTTTGTTTTGGAAGAGGTCCAATTTAATCAACTTGCCAAGAAGTGGCTCCTTGGTTTCCTCAAGGGATGGTCCCAAATCGAATGGTCAGCAGTGGACTCTGTTTTGGCAGCAGCAGTAGCTAGGTCATCCTTGGTGAGTAGGAGCCCATACCGTTGTGCCCACTAATGCCACCATAGCAACTACTTTCATAACCCCATTGTCCTTGTATTGGGATGACTGAGGACAGAGGCTAATTGACATTAGCTGGCCAAGTCATTTTCTCCTATTTTGTGCTGTAGCACCTCTTCTATGTTGGATGTTCTCTGGTGGGTGTTAGCATGTGACACAAAGATCTTCACACTTTATAATGATTCCCACAGGTCCACACACACGCCTCTTTTCCATATTTCCTTGCCCCCAATCTTCTAATCTTACTTCTTCTAGGCCCCTAACCAATAAATTAAACCATTCACCACTGCCTGTGAATCTCTATATATTTTTACACCAGCTCACTTCTCTTTACTCATGAAGTGGGTGACCAGGTACAAAGCCAGAAGCTCTGTCCTTTGGGAGGATGTCCCCTCTTTTAAGGTCACTTCCGCATGAGCCTGCAGGGTGGCAGCTACCCATTTTGGTTTGCATCTGCATACTGAGCTGACATCTGTTAACAACACTCAGGCTCTATTCTCAGTTGTAAGCTAGTCCTTGGGGAGGCCTGTAATGCAGCTATAGGTTGGGCTGAGGGTGAAGTGTTGGTGCAGTTGTGGTAGATGACATGGGAGTATGAGCCAGGTATTCCTGCAGCTTGTTTCCTCTGATGCTGCTCCAGACTGTATTCCTTCTATCTCATGGTAGCTTGTTGCTGCCCCTACCCAACTTTCTGCCTTGGATCTGACAGTGCCTACCTTGGAGCAGGCAGTTCTGGTTTAATGGAAAATTGATGTTCCATAGTCAATCACTCAACTCCATCAGTATATCTACTCTGGTAGCATGCCAAGAGCTGCTTTTCCAGTGGTTTATAATTCTCTGCTGCAGATGGAATGTCAGAGCCCTGGGTGTCAATATTATGACTTTCTTACTAGAACTTTCCATAAACTCTGAAAGGCATTTTTTTCCTACCACAGATACTCATAATTACAATCAGATGTACCAAGATATAGCCCAAGTTGCAGAGCTCCTTACACAGCAACCTGAACTTGCTGCAGACCTGTTTACTGCTCTGGGCTCCACTCAAAGCTAGAAGAGTTCCATGTCACATGGTAAACAAACCAAGTGTGGGATATGTGTCTTCAAAACATAAGAGGAAGGAAGATGGCGGGGGAGTGAATGGGAGAGACACTGACTTCCTCTCAGGACCAAACTGGAATTGCGACTAAATAGTGGAGTAATCACCTGGAAAACAATGGAACTATAGTGGGAGAGGAGCCTTGGAGCCATGGACAGACAGTGGATTCAACTCTCACACATCCCAAAGTGTGAGAAGTGTGGTGGAGGCTCAAGAGGGTGGTCTGGGTGCCCACGGGTACCAGCACAAGAGTGACATTGAAATGGCCAGTTAGCTCCCTCTGAGAAGAACGGGGTCTGAATTATAAACAGGGACCTCTAAACTACAGCAATTAGAACCAGGAGGGCACAGACAAAACGCAACCCCGAAAAGCTTAGGGGCGCTCTCTGCCAGAGACAGGTGGCTGGGGATGCAAAGAGACATTTAAAAGGCCAACGCAAAAATTGCAGTGGCAGCCACCCTCCTTGATCTCTGGGTAGAGGTGGCAGCGGAGTGGGCTGGTGCCTGGGAAAAGATTGGTGAGGAAAACTTTGTGAAGAGAACTGAGACGGTGCCGGCAGAGCCCCGGTTACAACGCACCTTCCACTCTGTAGCTACCATCTCGCTCAGGCATAAGGGAATCAATTAACCTGCCTTTTGTGCGCTCTGCACACAGTTTGTGCGCGTGTGAGCTGGGGGGCTAAGTGCAGACAAGTGGGAAGAAATAGAGGATCCCTGGCCAAAGGGGTCACACAGCTGCATAGAGAGCCTTGAGGAGAGACTGGAGACAGAGAAATTGGGGAAAGAACGGGAGGAGGAACTGGGGAGTCCCAACTCCCTCCCCATTCTGTAGTCTCCATCTGGGGTAGGCAAG